AGAGGGAGACAAAGCATGAGAGACTCTGGACTCCAGGAAACAAACTGAGGGTTGTAGAAGGGAGGTCCGTGGGTGGATGGGGTAACTGGGTGATGGGCATTAAGGAGGCCACATGATGTGATGAGCACTGGGTATTATGTTCACCTGATGAATATTTGAACATTATATCAAAACTAGTGGTGTAGTATATGTTGACAAATTGAATGTAAATTTAAAAAAGGGATGTTATTAAGGAAACAAAACAAAACAAGGGAGCAAATGGAAAGAGAGAAGAAAGAAAGAAAGAAGAAAGAAAGAAGAAAGAAAGAAAGAAAGAAAGAAAGAAAGAAAGAAAGAAAGAAAGAAAGAAAGAAAGAGAAAGAAAGAAAGAAAGAAAGAAAGAAAGAAAGAAAGAAAGAAAGAAAGAAAGAAAGAAAGAAAGAAAGAAAGAAAGAAAGAAAGAAAGAAAGGAAGAAGAAAGAAAGAAAGGAAGGAAGGAAAGAAAGAAGGAAGGAAGGAAGGAAGGAAGGAAGGAACAAACAGAGAAGCAAACCAAGAAACAGGTCCCTAAGTATAGAGAACACACTGATGGTTACCAGAAGAGAGGTTGGTGGGGGGATGGTTGAAATAGGTGATGGGGTTAGGTAGTGCAGTTGTGATCAACATGGGGTATTGTATGGAAGTGTTGAATCACCATATTGTACACCAGAATCTAATATTATACTGTATGCCAACTGACTGGAATTAAAATAAATTTTTAAAGATTTTATTCATTTGACAGAGAGACAGAGCACAAGCAGGGGGGTGGGGCAGGAGAGGGAGAAGCAGGCTCCCCGATAAGCAGGGAGCCAGGTTTGGGACTCAATCCCAGGACCCTGGGATCATGAATGCCCTGAGCTAAAGGCGGATGCTTAATTGACTGAGCCACCCAGGCATCCCTAAAATAATTTTTTTAAAAAGAACACACATTTATTACCTTATAGTTCTATGGATTAAGAATCCAACAAGGATTTCATGGAACTTAAATCAAGGTGTCAACTGGGCTGCCTCCCTTCTTAAGGCTCTAGGGGACAATCTGTTTCTTTGCGTTTTCTAGTTTTTATAGTCTGGATATTCCTTGCTCATAGTTCTTTCCTCCATCTTCAGCCCTAGCAATAGTAGGTGGAGTCCTCCTTATACAGCATCATTATGACCTCCTTTTCTACCTCTTCCAGTTTTAAGGTCTGCGTGTAATTCCAGGGGGCCGCCTGGATAATCCAAGATGATCTCCCCTTCTCAACCTCCTTAACATAAGCACCTCTGTAGAGTCCCTTTTGCTGTGTTATGTAACATATTCACAGGTTCCATGCATTAGAATGGGGGACCTCCTATGGAGAGGGCATTATTCTGGCCCACACTATTAACTCAGGTGAAAACTGATGTCAGATGTGCCCTCTAAAATCTTTTCTATTTTAACAGTTTAGTAAAAGTAAACCACTACCTCAAGGCGCAATCAAGACAAAGGCAAATCAGAACCCTAGAGGGCTCCATCAAGGACTATAAAATTGCCCAAGTACTAGTCTATTCAGAATAGTTGTTTTGCTTTGTTTTCCAGATCTGGTTTTTTTCCCTCAAAAGGCGGGCTTTGATTGCGGAAATCTCATCCTAGTGGCGGAGAGAGGGAAGGCTGTGGGAGAGTGGGGCGCCTGGGACCCCACCAACCCCTCGCTGTGAACTCTGAGCTGGGTCTGAGTAGGCAGAAGGGATGGTTTCCTTTGGACCTGCCCTTGCCTCTCAACACGGGGATCCTTGTGCACCTCTCCGAGGCAGCCACGAGGGGGCGCCGCTGCCCAACCCTAGGAACCAGCCGTGTGAAAAAGCAGGCACCTGGATGTTTTCGGTGTGTGGGGTGTTCCCCGCAGGTCTCAGCCCCAGTGCTCAGAGGTTACTGACTTTCGGTCACACCCCCGGGTTGTCCAGGCCTGTGGCGGGGAGGTGGTGGGGGAACCGGCTTGGAGGCTGACCTCCACAGGTGCAACCCTCTCACTCTGTCTCCTCCAAAACAGGTTCTGACCAGAAAGAGAGAGAAGGACAGAGAGAGAGAGAGAGGTATCTGTGCTTCCCTGTCTGGTGGAAAGTTGTACCTCAGGTTCTCTCAGGCTGGCGCAGCCTTCTCTGTGCTGGGCGCTGTGTGTGTGTGTGTGTGTGTGTGTGTGTGTGTGTGTGTGCGCGCGCACGTGTGGTGTCGGCCTGGAGCCGCAGGGAGAGGGAGGAGAAGTGGTAACCAAATCAGGCTGATGGGGAGAAGACGGAGGAGACTGGGAGTGAGAGGAAGGAAGCCCAGGCAGGTGGAGGAGGGGTGGGGGAAGAGGAGGAGCATCAGACCTGAAATCCAAGGTGGGAGGGGAGGTGGGAGGCAGGGTTACTGGGTTAGGGGGTGGGGGAGTGAGGAGAGGCCCTTGAAGTCATGGACCGGGCGTGTCTGATGTAAATCAGGCAAGGTTGCGGTGTGGTTCTGGGTGGTAGAATTACCGGGGCTGAGAAAGTAGCAGCGCTGTTGCTTCCATTGTATTAGGAAGACTCGTGTAGGAGGGTTAGGATGCTTGAGACAGGAGTGGGTGTAGAGGGTTTTGGGGTGTGGCAGCCTAGTGACTGTGTGTTTAAGGTGGAAGGCCTGCGAGGCTCTGATGGGGTGGAGGCAACACAAATCATACTCGGCGGGGGGAGTCTTGATCCTGAAAGTGGTTTCTCCTGGGTGAGGCTTATCCATTCCATTCCTGTGCTGACCTCTGCAAATTCCCTAAGTATGGAAAACTTGGTTGCATAATTTGCTGAAGACGGGAGCTGCATTTATATTTTTTGGAGTCTTCTAAGAAGCACTACAGCAAGGTCTCTGAGACAGTCAGAATTTGTGCTCCTATCTCTTTTCAGTGCTTAGCCCGTCAGTGCTTTGGAAAAGTTGCTTTGTGTTTTTCTCTTCCCACTGGGGACAGAGGTAAGCAGGCTAGGTGTTATCCCTCAAACACTCCACAAAATCTCAGACAAACCCTGGACTTCAGGCTTGAAGGGAGGGCTGTGGCTCTTTACTCTGTAAAACTCTCTATTCAGAATCTACATTGACATTTTCCAACTTTGACTTTCACTTAGGGGAGTCACACCAATGTGCACTCACAAGAACTGGTTTTCTCTCCTCCCTGAAACAACAGCAACAAAACCAAATGAGATCCAGGAAATGCAGATTTCCAAGATACTGGGCATCGGGCAAAGAAGACAGCTGACCTGGAGACAATGGTGAGCAGACCCCTACAGTTGCTCCAAGGTACTGCCTCCAGAGAGTTTCCAGACAAGGCACAGGGGAGGTGCAATTGAAGAGAAGCCCAGTAGACATCATGGAGTTGAGGACACTGAGCTGAGAATCCACAGGATAGTGTATGGGTGAGGACAGAGCTGCAGAAAGTCAACTAGTGAGAGCTGTGGAAGAGTCCTCCATCCCTGCAGCAGGGTCCTGCTCAAGGCCTCCGTGGGAGGCAAAGACAGCAAGTCAGTAGACAATCATTTGAATAGGGCCTGGTGCTCACACAGCTCTGGGAATAGAGCCTGTGCCCAACAGATAGGCTGAGAAAAGGAACCCTCTTTATTCCCAAGGCATAGGGTGGGGAGGACTCAGGGAGGTCTTGCCACAGTACTGGGAACTCATCATTAGCCCTCCAGGGAGCACTGCTCTGGACCACTGAACAAATCATTAAAGCAATACCAGAAATGATCAGTTTCCAAGTAACTTAAATGCATCCTTAAACAAAGCTCAAAATTATAGAGAACACAGAAATATCCAGCAACCAACAAGGTAACATTCACACTGTCTGGCATTCCATCCAAGAGTTTCAGATATGCCAAGAAGCAGGGGACATAACCCCTCATGAGGAGACATATCAATCATCTGAAAATGATCCAGAGCTGACACAGATGCAAGAATCACCTGCCAAGGACAATTAAGCATTTATTATAATTGTATTCCATCAGTTCAAAACATTCAGCAGACCCACAACTATATGTTCAAATAATCTTCAACAAAGCAGAAAAGAATATCCAATGAAAAAAGATCTCTCCAACAAATGGTGTTGGGAAAACTGGACAGGAACATCCAGAAGAATGAAACTGGACCACTTTCTTATACATACTCGAAAATAAAATAAAAATGGATGAAGAACCTAAGTGTGAGACAGGAAACCAACAAAATCCTAGAGGAGAACACAGGCAGAAACCTCTTTAACCTCGGCCACAGCAACTTATTAGACACGTCAGGAAGCAAGGGAAACAAAAGCATAAATGAATTATTGGGACTTCATCAAGATAAAAAGCTCTGAACAGTGAAGGAAAAAATCAACAAAATTAAGAGGCTGCCTACAGAGTGGGAGAAGATATTTGCAAAGGACATATCTGATAAAGGGTTAGTACCCAAAATCTATAAAGAACTTATCAAACTCAACACCCAAAAAAGAAAAATTCCAGTTAAGAAATGGGCAGAAAACATGAATAGACACTTTTCCAAGAAGACATACAGATGGCTAACAGACAGATGAAAAGATGCTCAACATCACTCATCATCAGGGAAATACAGATCAAAACCATAATGAGATACCAACTCACACCTGTCAGAATGGCTAAAATTTACAACACAGGAAATAACAGATGTTGGTGAGTTGCGGAGAAAGGGGAACCCTCTTGCACTGTTGGTAGGAATGCAAACTGGTGTAGTCACTCTAGAGAACATTATGGAAGATCCTGAAAAATTTAAATATGGAACTACCCTAGGATCCAGCAATTGCACTACTAGGTATTCACCCAAAGGACACAAAAACACAGATTCAAAGGGGCACATGCACCCCAATGTTTATAGCAGCATTATCAACAATAGCCATACTATAGAAAAAGCCCAAATGTCCATTGACTGATACCTGGATAAAGAAGATGTGGTGTAGGGGTGCCTGGGTGACTCAGTCGGTTAAGCGTCTGCCTTCGGCTCAGGTCATGATCCCAGGGTCCTGGGATCAAGCCCCGCGTCAGGCTCCCTGCTCGGCGGGAAGCCTGCTTCTCCCTCTGCCTCTGTCATTCCCCTGCTTGTGTTCTCTCTTGCTCTCTCTCTCTCTCTGACAAATGAATAAACAAAATCTTTAAAAAAGAGAGAGAGAGAGAGAGCGCGAGACACCTGGGAGCCCTGGTTGCAGGAGCAGGGACTCTCCCTAAGTAGTGGAGAAGCCGGTGTTGGGATGCTTAGAAGAAAATGCCATCAAGCTTCCTTGACACCTCCTACTGGCTGCTCTCAGGAATGAAGAGGAAAACACAGAATAAAAAGAAAACAAGGGCTGCAACTGAACTGGAAGAAGACCCTATTCCACACATGGGAGAAATGCTTTTAAAATATCTGGAGAATGCCAGAAAGCAGAGCATTTGGAGTCAGACGGCTCTAGCAAAACATGACCTAAGAAATGTGAAAGAAGTTTTAATGCAGGTGGGTCCAATCAAGGAGGGCTTCCAGGAAGAGGGTTTTAAGGAATTTTGGCTGGTGGGGGAAAGAGATGTTAGTCTGGCTTCTGCCGAGGGAAGCTGGCAGCTCACTTACTTAGGCTGAGGAGCCACACTGAGGATTCTGATGGTGTGGTGCTGACCCAGGATGTATAGACTGCTCTCAGCTCTCAGCTCTGATGAGAAAACTGCTTGATGAGCCAGCAGTGAGCTAACCCTGACCTGAGCTATCAGTACCAGAAGGGGGCTGGAGAGAGGCAGGAAATGTTCACAGAGCTCCTTTTACCTTTTCATGACATGCCCAGCCCTGGGCCTAAAGCTGGTTTGGGAGGAAGCTAATTGGTTGGCTCACTTCCCCTCCATCCCAACCCTCTGCCCTCCCTGAGCAAGCTAGCAATTTGCCTCTCCTCTGGCACCACTCACTGTTGCCTGCCCCTGTTGAGATTAGGCCTTTCCACCTGGGTAAACCAGTGGCTGGTGGGGACTAAGGAACTCCCGGGTGCCTGGCTCACTTTGCCTCCCACATGTGGACAGCCCAGCAAGGATGGCTGAGCTTTCTTGTGCCTGCTTGGATCTGTGCTAAGTGTTCTTGAGGGCAAGGGATTGGTGTGGGGCTCTTGGCTTAATAGGGGGTGAGTTGGACTTGGAAGGGCCCTCAGAGGTGGCGAGACCCCTTATATTGCAGATGAAGAAACTGATACCTGCAGACAGACCTGAGCAAGGCTATAAAGCATTTTAGTGACATAGCAGGAATTGGGCTCAGACATCCTGCTTCCTGGTTAAGGGCAATTCCAATTACACCTCCCTCAGGGCTACTGGGTATCTACAGAATGACTCTTCCTAAACCTGTTCCCAGTGTGGGAGCCATGCTCTCAAGGAACTTACAGCCTAGAAGACAACTATTTTTATATAGCCTCTTGGTAGTCAACACCTGTCCCTTCCCTGCTACAAAACTCCCCTGGCTCCCCATCACCCAGGGGAGAAATCTGAGCTGCTTAGCACAGGACACATAGCCCTTTAGGAGTGGGCCCACTTTGCCTCTGTCAACCCTCTCCAGCCTCTCACCTGGGGGCACATGGGGCCCACCTGTCTCATGCACATCCAGGCTTTTGTCTTTGGTGCTGTCACCCTGGAGTGCCCTTACCCACTACAGGGTGTGGTCCTCCCCACCTCTCATGGCTCAGTTCAAATGCCACCTCATCCAGGAGACTGCTCTGTTCTTCCTAATTGGGAACAATCTCTTCCTCCCAGAAAATTGCTCACAAACCACTTCTGGCTCTCAGCACTTTTTCTCCTGGAATACGGTTGTTTACATATTTTGCCTTTGTCTCACAGTTGCCTGTACATCCTCAACATGCATTCTTAGTCAGGATCACATCCTCCCAAGCACATACCCTGGGGCTTGGCATATGGAAGACCTCACATTTGCTGAAGAATGTGTCCTGTTGGTACCTGGGCCCTCAACCCAGGAAGTACATATGGGGGACTTAGTATGGGTGCCTTCCCTTTACTCCTCACTCCTTCCAACCTCTCCCCTTCCATCAGAGATGATGGTCTCCACTTCCACCTCTACCAGCCCTTCTGTCCAGTCTTCATGAAGCCTTCTCTCTCTGCCCCAGCCCCTCCTGACCACTCTGACCTCTGAAAGCCCCAGGCAGCCCTTGTGTATACTACACCTTGGCCCCAAGCATGTTCTACCTCTTACTCTTAATCACTATTCCATGTGCCATGGCATTGTTCCTAACTGGAAGAGACAGCCTGGACTCAGCCTCAGGCAAGGGCAGCCAGTGAGAAAATGGACCAGGTATTGCTGAATCTCCCAAAGTTCCAGGAAATCAGAATTCCATTTTTTTTGTTTTTTATTTAAATTCAGTTTAGTTAACATACAGTGTATTATGAGTTTCAGGGGTAGAATTTAGTGATTCATCAGTTGCATATAACACCCAGGGCTCATTACATCAAGTGCCTTCCTTAATGCTCAACACACAATTACCCCATGCCACCTCACTTCCCCTCCAGCAAACATCAGTTTGTTTCCTAGAGTTAAGAGTCTCCTATGATTTGCCTTTCTTTCTGTGTTTATCTTATTTTATCTTCCTTTCCCCTATGTTCATCTGTTTTGTGTCTTAAATTCCACACACAAGTGAAATTGTATGGTATTTGTCTTTCTCTGACTGACTTACTTCACTTAGCATAATACCTTTTAGTTCCATCCACATCTTTGCAAATGGCAAGACTTCATGGTTTTTGATGGCTGAGTAACATACCATTGCATATATAGACCACATCTTCTTTATCCATTTATCTGTTGATGGACATCTGGACTCTTTCCATATTTTA